GGGAGCAGTCATGTGTAAAGATCGTTAGAAATGTTAAAAGTCCCTTCGAAGTACTGGTCAAAGGTTTCTTAGCCGAGAGATAAGAAAGAAAGGCATCAACCATTCATCAAAAGTAAATTTTTAAAATGTTGCACTATCTCCTTTATCGACACAATTTAGGTCATTTCGGAGGCGGACTGCTTCGACCCTGCCTGTTAGGACTTAGGATCAACCCGGTCTGATCAGTGGGATACGGCATCTCAGGAAATAGACAGAGCTACTCAATCTTACATAACGTCTTAAGGCAGGAATTGAACTCATGTCTTCTGGTGAAATGGTGAAATGGTATGGGTTTAACGCCCCTATCAACATTATTATGTTATTTAAGGGGCGGGACCTCCTAGTTTAACGTCCGTCTCCGATACGACCGCATGTCTTCTGGGTGTAACGGGGTATAGAGCCTAACCGTTACATCACTGACACCGGTTTATAACTGCTTACACGTTAACACTCACAGATACAATGAAATAAAACTCGCTTTGAATTAATTACGTACAATGTCAACAGCATCAAATCACTCGCTTATTCAACTAGTTAATTAACTGCGAATACGTTTCTGTTAAAGCGTTTAGAAAATACCAAATACCACATAAAAAAACACAGACGAATCTCAACTATAGAACGACAAACAGACAAACATATATTTAGTTTGCAGATGAGTTTCATTGTGATTGTTGAAATTAGTAAAAACATCTTATTAACATAAAATAAAAGTGTGTGAGTGCAGCGCGGGCTCGCGTGGAAGAGCGCGAGAGCGTCTAAGTGCGTGTATATGTGCGTGTGCATGTGTGTGTCTGTGTATGTGTGTGTGTGTGTGTGTGTGTGTGTGTGTGTGTGTGTGTGTGTGTGTGTGTATTATTATAGCCACTTTCGTCGAATCCCGTGGGAAAATGTGGTTTACAACGGCGTACCTGCATTATGCACACATAAATACGGTATATAAATTACAGCTGCATAGAAACACACATACTGAAACAATAATTAGATTTTACTACAAAATGCGTCTCTGTGTAGCGCCCTGCTTTCATTGTTTAATTTATTTTTAATTTTAGCTAGAGTTGTTGTGCCTTGTTCGAGGACACACCCCAGTGATCATCCATCCGAAACCCATGTCACTAAGACTTGTTTGACATTCACTAATCACTCGGTCACGCATGTGTATGCCTGTGTACGTGTACGCACCAGTATGTAGGTGTAGGTCTGTGTGTGCGTGTGCGTGTGTGTGTGTGTGTGTGTGTGTGTGTGTGTGTGTG